TTAACGGAAGAGGAGGTTAAACACCAAATTAAAGCTGACGTCCTGGATGTTTTGTTTAGAATGCAGAAGAAACCCAAAAAACCATGTCCTAGCAGTTAAAACGATTTGTGGAAAAAGTAAATAAATTTAAAGCAATGCGTTAATAAACTACATCGCTGGAAAAGAAGACCTTTCATTGGCGGTCTGTTGTTTTCGTTCAAACTGAGTATACGTTGAATGAGGGTTTTTAGATCTTCACTCCAGTGATCACTAATAGGCCCATACTGCCCCTACAAATAACAATTATTTAATATAACCGTAACAAATGGTATTGTATATCATAAATACCACGTAGTTATAACACAGGAAAGGTGCTTTCTCTGTCTGTAAATTTAGGTGATTCAAAAAATTAGTGCCTAAACAAAGTACAATCACGAACATTATTTTATGGGACACCTTAGTTATTTTCATGACGATTGCAGGCAAAAGGTTTCCGTCAAATGCTTTTCTCAACTCGCAAAGTTCGTAAAGAACACATCCAAGCGACCAAAGATCACTTTTCTCATTATAAGATCTTCCTAAATGACTCAAGAAATATTGCGTGGAATAAACCGATTATAAAACAAGTGGCTGACAAATGTACAAAAAAAAAGAGAAACCTTCACAAATCTCGGGCGATAAGTAATTAGGAGTACCAACAACAGTAGATGCGAGACTTCTAGAGGCCAGCTCTTTACTTATGCCGAAATCACTTAGCTTTACAATTGTTCTCTTCCTATTTAACAAAATATTTTTGGTTTTTAAATCACGATGCAATATATTCTTTGCATGCATATATTCCAGCCCCACGGCCACCTAAACCGTCAGAATACTTCATAGTTTTGACCTCTGTTACAAAATCACGGGAAGAGATAAAAGAATATAAATGCCAAAGACCTGCGTGAAATATTTCAATACAGTAGATTCTGAAAATTTCACTCCCTTCCTTTCGCTGATCATGTTATCCATAGTACCACCCTCTGCATACTGCATAACAATTGAAAGACCCCTTTCTGCCTGTAATAAAGACAGGTACAGAACGAAAAATTTCGTTTTTAGAGCCTGATATGACAGGTAGCACAAAAAAACAGGACTTGAAACAGGCAATCCGAGTGCCGTGCAGGCGATATCGTAATAGTCTTCTATCAAAAAAGACAAACAAGAAAAGAAATAAAATATACGACTAACTTTCCGACCGCCTACTTTCGGAACTTTTTGACCTATAACTGACTGAGCTCGAAAGACCTTATTTATATATACTTTTTTGTACATATATATGCAAAAAGACTACCTTATAATTCAACTAGTAGAACAAGTCACATTGAATCTTTTTTCTCAATACGACTCCACTACTCTAAGACGTACAGCAAAATGGTCTCCAACATCACTACTGAGCATGAATCATTAAAAATTTAATAAATTTTACACAGATGATTATCAGAAAAGAGCTCTTTTAAAACGCCATCTGATGATCTGCGATGGTACTTAACTACCAAAATATAAGCTTCTACAAAACAATCGCCACCACTGCTCAATCTCTTCCGAAAGCGACTACGGTGAAAAGAGGACAGACCAGCTCTTCCCTAAAATGATGATCTATTACCTACCTTGAAAGACTCAAAATATCCGATTATATTGGGGTGATGGAGACGTTTTAGCAAGTTTGCTTCATCTAAACACAATTTTTGTATTGCTTACAGAATACTGATGAAATAAGCAGATGTTCAAAAACCAAAAATATTTTTTCCATAAAAGCACATGATATAACAGTATGTCCACAATAAAATACAATCCTTTCAAAGAAGCTAAAAACGTACGCATAACTTCAGTTTCTTCATCTGCAGTCATTCCATCAAGAGGGATCGTTTTAACAATAACTTTTCGTTGAAATTCGTCGTCTTTACGAATACACAACCAGCACGTGCCATGTGCTCCTCGTCCAACTACCTGAACCTTTTCGTAAGCGTCCATCACCGTTCCCTACAGTTAGCATTTTGTAATCAAAACTCATTTTCAAAGACAAATAAAAGGTAGTACAACATGATTTCAGTCAGAAAAAAAGTAATTATTTCCTTCCTAAAAAAATAACTAAAAAACTTTCAACCAACCAAAGCATTTGATTATTCCGTCCTAATTAATAGTGCAGCTTTCAAAAAACGTGTATCTAGTGATTTAGATTTATGAAATAAAACCGACCAACACTAATTGTGGTGACAAGAAAATAGTAGGCGGGTGAAATTATACAACACTAAACCTTGCCCGGCAGCGTTGTCTTGTGTCTGGCAGCGCAAAATTGTACTGTAACAGAATCGAGGCCTCGATGGCGGAATTTAGTTCAGTTTCGACAAAAACCGTGAAGTAAATAGCCCAATCCGGAGCGCTATTGCAGTTTAAGATGCTCACCCAGGAAAATATGCCTTCATTTTGTCATCTTGCCTTCATTTAGCGTACGTGGCATTTTTGGCCCCGCTTAATCCATATTCATTGATTTTAGCGGTATATTTACACATTTCCGAGTGTTTAGAGTTGAACTACAATTCGCCACACGTGCGATTTTGATGAAGGCTCGCGGTAACGAAATGTGACGTAGTGGACAAGTACTTTTTTCCGCGACTGCAGCATTAAGGGGTTCAGGTACAGGACGAGGCAACAATTTCGACCTTTGCTTTGGTCGTCATACGCTGTGAAATGATGACTTAGGTTTTCACTGCCTACATATTGTTGAGTGGCCAGAAAATATTGAAACCTGCTTGAAAAGCTCGTGTAGAGGTCCACTTTATCATTTTACGTCTGCAAAGCTAGAAGTGTATAATCGAGTTCTCAGTTACTGCAGACTAAACTCCGTTTTATCGTTGTGTAATCGCAAAAAAAATCCGCAAGTTCAACAAGCCATAGTTAAATTTGAGAAAACTGATACTGAGAGTGTCGTCCGTAGATGATGCTGAACTTGATAAAAGTGAACAACGGAAGGTTGGAAATCTGTTCAAAAAGTGAAAAGAGACTGAGTGGTTGGAATCATAAACTGCAACAGCGCCGTCGGGTTTTGCATGGCGAAAAGATAAAAAATTTTGCTTCATAAATTGTCCTTTGTCAGTATTAAATACCAGAAGCTCAAAAACAATCATTCAGCTGATACGACATTCTCAAAAACGGGAACGAGGATGTTAAAACAACCTCGTCGTTTATAGTTCAATGAGCAAAAAACCATAAATTCAAACCATTTAACATGTTTATCACGTTAACCTTGCGAAGGAAAAGAAGAACATTTCTCAAGCGTCACGAAGAAGGCGCATTTTAACAAGAAGTTAGAAATATATTTTGAGAAAACAGTCTATTAAAAGCTACATTTAAGCTGGTGGCATAAAATTTAGTCGCACAAACGAAGTTTCGAGGGGAATAAAAATATTCTATCATGAATAATAACGTAAACTGTCTCATACAACTCCACTTGCCCCTACGTTTAAAGATACACGTGTCCAGAACATTTTAATACACGACACTTTCATGTAATTTCTGCTCGGACGATGAAAAGAAACAATGTGCACAAAAAAAAGAAGAAAGAATTCTCTAGTAAACTACAACGTACACGGATAGTCTTTCAACATAAACAACAACTTGGGAGGGAAATGGCCTTGAAGTGTGATTACTTGTACTTCATTGGCCCTTCTTTCCCTTTGTGTTTTTCTCTTTCCCCCTTGAAACCTCCAATAATTTATTAAAAATTAGAATTCTTATTTCGCGGACATTTTAGTATTACGATTCTCAGCTGGAGTGGTAGAAATTCTACTCTGAAAAGACCCTTCTGCGGAAGGAAAAGAATTTGATGCGATAGCAAGGGAGAGGATGATGCGGAGCACTGTACTTCAGTTCTTCGTAGGAAAAACGATAGGCTTGCAATGTACCAAAAGAGATGTATAAAATTTCACACATTTTTGAGTGATTAGTTTGTGAGCATGATTTTATAGGAAATAATTGTTACTAAAACCAGGGGGATATCTTATCAAAAATCGGTACTAAGATTTCCATCACTGTTTAACTGCTTATTGAAACTCGTTAATACTCGTGGCTGAACCAAATGTTAAGCAATTTTTAACAGGTTTATAATACTGTTTACCGGGTGAAAAACACCTTATAACACTTTTTAGTTCATTCTTTACTACATTGTTAATATTTCTTTTTCAATTTTAAAGAAGAAAAGCTGAAAAGTTACTTCACAAAATGCATTAAAATAAACTGTTTCAGACAAACGAAATCAAGGTTGTTTAAACAAAAAAGAAATTTTGCTCCAACTTACTCTGTTCTTACAGTTTTAGGAATTAAATTCTACAACCCCGATACTTATGGGGAACGTTTCAAACCATTATCCCTCCAAAATGCCACCGTAGAGCTTGCTACAGATATCAACAGTTTAAAACAAAGATGACATTTAACTGAGTACTAAACCAAAATTCCAAATTCAAACTCTTCAAAAGCGTGTCAAAAGCTTTATAATCACGCCAAAATGAGGATTTAAAGTAGGCTTCACAAGCCCATCTCAAATTTTTTGGCTCAACTACATTCTTTCAGTAGAAATCTTTGTTTTCATCTTCATAGTTCTGTCTCACTCGCCATTCTACTAAGTTATAGAAGAAATAAAGTGATTTAAGACCAAGATAGAAGTACCGTTGCCAAATAAACCCTTCTTGAGTTGCATATAACAGAAAACCACATAACGGTATCAGATAAAATGCAAAGTTTAGTAACAAAATGGTTACTCTGATGTCAACTCAACACAATGTTTGTTTTAAGCAGTTTTTTGAAAAATATTTAAATAAAATTGAGGACGCGATTTGAAAACTCAAACAGGCAAGCAAATTAGGGAAGAATAAACCTACAGATGAGGTTTAGTAAGACTTTAACACAAATAACAGTGGTCAGAACAGATTTGAACTAAGAGCCCCAGACTTTTTAACTTTCAAAAGACCTAGCTAGTGCAAACAAAGACGAAACATATCAGCATTAGAACTGTTGTTGAAAAAACTTTTAACAAACATGCTTATGAGGCGCATATAAAAAAACTGAGATTTACCAATCAAACGGATTTGTGGGAACCGCTAACTGTTAACAACGTGTTTGGAACCGTGTATTTTGGTTGGAACACATGGCGACCAAGCTGTTTAGTGTTTCTGCATAACGGCTTTTTTCTATCACACTGACATTCCATTGTAATAATGTCACCAGTTACGTTTTTTCTTTGCTGTTATTCAACTTGCTGCAGTCTTAAAGGTTGCACCGATTGCTCTTCTTCAAGCGCTCGAAAAACTTACAGCAGTTTTTGAAATCTACCTTAACCTTTGTAACTCCAGGCCAATATCTAAGGCCTTCATTTTCTAAAAGTAAACAAAGTGATTGCCATATGATTTTCATTTCAAAAATGCTTCGTTCAAGTTTTACTTTCAGATAACTGAAGCTCACAATAACTGCTACGTACGCAAGAAATCCAGGGAGAGAAGTATTACTAATAAACAAAGTAAAAGTACTATACATCAGAAGAATTGAACGGTTTGGAGGCTCAACCAAAAAGCGAAGCTAAGAGTGGCTCCATGACGATGATTGAATGTAATATTACTGTAAACCCCCTACGGTACCGTGGAAGGGAATTTACTGCTGTAAGACAACCTAGTTGGTGAAGCAGAAATTCGCGATGCTAGATTTAACTATCATAACTTGCGAGGTTTTCGCATTTACGTTTAAATATTCGCTTGTAGAAGGGCAAGGGAAGGAGGAATGATCCGCCTATAATAAAAATTAAACCAAAGTATACGCGTAGAGATTCATTACATCACCATATGTTTGTTGTTTATTATTGTGTTGATCAATTTAGTTGTTTTAAAAGCACCGGTATTACGAAAGTAAGTCGGTTGCAGTTTCACTTTCTCAGAGATAACCGTACTGTAAATTGTGAAAGCTGTGTGGCGAGAAGGATATTAGTGGTTCAATTTTGACTTTTTTCTGAATTTGATCAGAAGATTGGTAAGAGTAATCTGATGCTTTTCTAGCTTTATTTTAGTGTGTCCTTTTCCTTCAGTTTCTCAATTATCTATTTTGTTGAAATAAAAGAACAGAGATTTGTGCATTAGTAGCGATTTGTTTGATCCATTTTTATTCACTGTCAGTAAGCTTATATGGGATTTCGCCAAAACTGGGAAAAAAAAAGTGAAATAAATCACAGATATCAGAAGTGGTATGAGAATCTTTTGCGATAAGGGGAAAAACTCTGTAAGAATTATCATTTTATCTGTCTTTCCTTCCCAGATTTCTTCGTTCCGTTTTATCTTTTTTAAGTCATTAGTAAAAAAATGCTATTCCACTCTCCACCTACTGTTTTACTTTATTTTGCCAAGAAAAAAATAAATAAATAAATCGCAAACATTTCGATTTAGAGCTCAAATATGCTTTACAAATAAGATGTATTTTGAAGGTTTTTTGTATTGAAAGTAAGCTAAATGTTCACTGTGTTAAAATTACTGAATAAGCAAAAATGTACATATACGGAGATTGATGTATTGTTACTTGAAGACCGCTGTTCTTTCTTCCACTACATTACTGATCTCGACAATATTATATTCCGTTTCTTTCCGACTGTAACTGTCTGACTAGCGTGTATTGGCAATAACTGCACTCATTTTGAAGAAAAACTGTCTGTCTTCTTGCCCTCCTTATACATATATGGACCATTCCACTTCAAATCGCACACTTTTTTCCCTTCATATCTCAGATTTTCTTTATTTTTTGTTGTTAGTAGAGTCTGTCTCAGATTTTCTTTAAATTTTGCTGATTAGTAGAGTCTAAGGCGAGCATAGAGAAAGCCCGCAAAAAAAAAACCTGGAAAAGTCAATTCCTCGCCAAACCGACTATTTTTAAAGTAATCCCATGTATTTTACAGTAGCAAAATCATCCGGAGCCGCAGCTGGCAGCTATAAATATCCTGC